AGAGAGAGAGAGAGAGAGAGAGAGAGAGAGAGAGAGAGAGAGAGAGAGAGAGAGAGAGGGAGGGGGGGGGGAAGAATGGAAAGGTAAATTAGAGGTCAGAAGTGTGGGAAGGTGTGGTCACTGAGGTGTTCACTTTTAAAGTTTTGTGGAGCAGGTGCATATCCCATTGGCGGTGGCGGCTGGTAATTCTATAAGTATAAGCACAACATAAGAATTACACTACAGTATTGCCTTACTTGGGGAGGATAACCTACAAAAAGAATAAAGAAATGACATTTAAAAAAGAAGCATCTCAATAATATTTTTTCTATTCTGGTCAGAAATTTTATAAAAAATATTGATAGGTGTTTACATATATAGCTTGATAAAACAACGGCTTGTTACAAACAAGATTATTAACAAAAGACAATCTACAAATTTCAAAAGAGGTGAAGGTGGAGTCTAGCACATTTGTACTTTTAAGAACTTTTTGTGGTGTGACAATCCTATTCGTTAACACATTATAATTACATATATCATGTATTGTCGAGAAAGTTTATTTTTTAGCATCAAGCACACTATTTAAAATACATCACTACTTTATTTAGAGGCTAGAGCAAGGAGGAATCGTCTTACGCATTCACACTATCCATTGTACAACGGCGATATATAAACAGAGCATTCGCACATGATAAAAACCAACACAATACATTTCAAATCCGAGCGGGCCACGCTAAAATAAGTCAATGTGTCTCACCAGAGGCCATGGTTTCTTGTTAGTCCTGAGTGAGTGATTAGCTGAACTTAACGGGCCAAGGAGTCAGTCAGTTTTGCGCAACTGCTTTTTTGCTTTCTTCCCCGTTGATGCTGTAATCCTTTGCGTGGGAGGGTAGAATTTGATTGGTCGATCACTAACCATAGTAACTCATTATTGTAATTCTACTAATTCACCATGATAATTATTTTCTGTGCTCAATACAGCACCCTACACTACAGTCTGGTCATCAAGGGGACTAATCAAAGCATAATAAACCTATCTACTACATACTACATCTATCCAATAACTCTGCGACCAACAGTATATAACAAATAAGGGTATTTGTAATGTACTCTTGCAGCGACACATTATAAAATGAGCATAAAACAATTAGAATCATTGGAAAAAAATATAGAAATTAATTTCTAGAAAATGAAAGCTACACTTTAATGCCAACAACATAAACAGTGTCAGGTGGTGGTAAAGAATAATCTGTTATTGGTGATCCATCTGCTGTCTCAAGCTTTGTAGGCTTGTAATTCTCAGGTGCACCGGGAAGACCTCTGAAAATAAACTCCATCTTACTAATGTTTGCTGACAAAGTAGCAATGACAGAGGTGTCACCCTCTAGCGTGTAATGGAGCTTTACTTTAGGCATGGATAGGCTACCAGAGTTCTCTGTATTCTAAGAAAAGGAGTGAGTGTAGAGAATCAAATGTATAAGAACCTACTTAATAGAGGCTAGAGAGAAGAGAAACAAGAGGAATGGGGCCTGTTGATTTGGATCAAATCAAGTGATCATACTGATCAAATCAAAATCACTGAAATCAGACATGAAAGAATGCAGGATATTAAGATCATGTTGAGTTGAGTTATTTTCATTAACGTTAATAAACTAGAGCTAATTTATCATCCATCCTTTCTCTGCACAATGGTTGATGATTTTAACATGTATTATTTGTTTTAAAGCTTATTTGGCAGCATGAGGGCCGCTTCTTTCAGAGTTTCCGATCGTCGCTCCACGCTCCCGTCCAGCACGAGCAACAAGGTAATGACTGCTGCCGTCTCTATACCCAAAGTCGTCGATAAATGGGAGTTCAGGCAACTATTGAGTGACCCTGCAGAGTTTCAGCAGAATGGTCATGATGGGACTGGCAATGACAGCAGGAGCAAAGGGAGTAGTATACCTATTTTTTATCAAAAGGTAAACTCACCCAAGTGCTAACCACTTCTAATTCTCACATCATTCTGAAATCACCCTCTTTCTCTCTCTCTCCCTTTTCTATCAGATGCAATACATGATTCAGGAGATGCTGCACTCAGAGACAGGGGTCCCCATTCGTTCCCACAGAAACAAGCTCTTATCGGCTGTCCCAAGTGTCTTTACAGGTACTCAGTCGTAGGTACTCAGTCGTGTGTGCAATAAAGTGACGCATACCTCCTAAAGTTTATTTGCGTCGAGTTTGTCATGTTTTCCTGGTTTAGGTTCTCCTCTTAATGTACACAAAATTTCATAAGCACACAGAGCCATAACTGTAAATAATTGTATGCACAGTCATAGACTCATACACACATGCTTGAACATAGATCATTCCAGTGGCACAATTACCCATACAAAATGACATACTTCGAAGTTCGTAGACCCATACCCATTATAGGGGCTAACTACGCGAGACTATACCCATTCATTAGTAGGTTTGGAAACCTATCTCATTATTATATTTGATACCCATACCTAAGCCCCATACATTCTTGAGCTTGGTGCATACTTCAAGTAATTAGAATAGGGTATTTTAATGTACAAATGTACCACCGGGTATTCTAATGTATGGGCTTGATAGTACAAATGGGGTATAATGTTATGTCTTTTGCTGTTTTCAGTGTCTGTTGCAGTTGATGATAAGTGTGTCATATAGTATATAACATTAATTATGTTATGAGTTTGATTTCCTTGGTATTTCATATAATAAACATGATATGTTTTATATGTAAACTGCTTTGTGAGTGTTCTATAACTGTTATATAGTGAGTATTTTCATTTGTAACTCATTACTAAAAGTGTATAAACTTAAGTGTAGAGTATTACTATTGTGTAACTGACCGTAGTATGTACTTCATTTGACTGGCTTGCTCATAATTGCTCCCAATCTCCTCTTCCTCTTTCGTTCTAATTATTTAATCTTACTCTCTTCCTCTTTTTCACTTTCTTTTCTTGCCGCAGGTTCTGACATGATTCATTGGACTATGAAGAGATTCACCTGCTCAAAAAGTTAGTGCACCGACTCTGTGTAACTGAGCGTATAATCCTCACTCCTCCTTCTTCCATCTTTCCTTCTTTCCCTATAGATGAAGCACTTCATTTAACCAACATGCTCTATAATCACGGCTATTTTTATTCAGTCGAGAGACTTGAGCCAGTTGTTAGAGATGACGGAGAACTCTACAGATTTCAGGTAACTCGTGAATCTATCGCTCTAGTGTCTGTGATGCTTTTATTTTCTTTCTAGACACCTCATCTGTGGCCTTCTCAAAACTTTGATGATTCAGATTTTGAATATGGTAAGGGTATACATAAGATAAAGGAGAGAGTATAACCCTCTTTGTTACTGTAGCTGTTTATTTGGTAAAACAGATCAAAAGGAGCAAGACCAGATTACGACTTGCCGACCATGAACTAGTAAGACTAAACTCTCTCTCTCTCCTCTCAGTAGATAACCCTTATATAGCTATATTAAATCGTACTATAATGATTAATAATTTTGCTAATTCACTAATAATATTACTACATACTGTGAGGCAGATCAATTTAATAAATAAGTTAATTACTGTGTAACAGCAAAGTAACTGTTGAATAGTAATTGTACACTGTGCAGATAGGATTACCAGTTACTACATACTTCTTGTATGAATCATTGAATGGTATATTGAATGTGTCTACTTCTTTGTAGGAAAACCTTCGTGACATTAGAAAGAAGCTGATACTTCAGTGGGACTATGTGAATGATAGAGCAAGCGATGAAGCGAGGTACAATAAGATCTCATTGATCGCATGCTCAATAATTTGATTCATCTGATTTTGTTTATAGAATATTAAAAGAACAAAAGAAAATTGCCAGAAGTCTAATGGAGAACCAAGAGAGAGCTTTCTGGAGATTAAGACGACCGCCAGTCAGTTTCATTAATATACCAGTTGTGTACTTTATCACCTCTCCTCCTTCCTCTTTCACTACTCCCCCTCCTCCTCTCTCTCTCTCTCTCTTTGTAGCCTGGAGGAAAGGGAGTAACTGACTGTCTTCTCTCGAGATTTTGTATGACACAAACAGGAACCAATAACCAAGTAATGAAGCACATCTGTACTGTACATAATATCACATAAAGACACAGCATAGAAAATAGTTATACTTTGACAGTAATTATATACACACACCCATGTTGTTTATAACATTGAATACAACATCACTATCTGTTGGGTGTGTAGTGTATAATACAGTTTTGACATCACACCCAACTCTGAGCTTATCTCATCTCCTAATGACTATCCAACACTGCATTCCTGTTTCCTGTTATGATTTATCCCCACTAAACACTAGCTGTCTGGAACCATACATATTCCCAAGGAATTCATTTTACTATCTAATGTCCAGGTGCCTCTGACAGAGGATGCCCTAAGAGAGGAGATCAGTGTATTGAAAGAGATGAAAGAGCTAAAGAGGATGAAGCTATCAACATCACTTGAAGGGTAAGGAGAGCTAATTAATGGCTTCATGAATATGGGCACACACACACAAAACAATGCATTCAAAACAATTATAATGTACAACGTGCATTGTGACTGGTTGATCATCCATGCAGTAAGTAAGAATGTAGTGTCTAATCCCAATACAGTGTCTAATCCCAATACATTGTCAGCAGTCTGTTTGTGTATGTAAGTGTACATTATAATGATTATTGTATAACAGCTACTATACAACCAAACACTTGCTGGCCAGTTCTCAAAACAATAAACAGCATATAACTGACTCTGTTCTGTCTCTCCCTACAGACTAGTCAGTCATTGTAAGAAGTATGCAGAGTTTGATCCAATGCTACACTCGCCCGAATCATCTAACCCTTGGGTCACTGGAGAGGATGCAATGTGGATCATCGGGAGATCACTGTGAGTCAATGGAGCTTCATTGATATTCTAATTAGTGTATCAAATAAATGTGGCAATACATGTATGTGTCATTAGTGTACGAAGAGGTTCTGTGATGTAAAGTTATGTCATTATTGTTTTGATAACGTAATTGCAATTATAATTAGATACTTTTGAAACTGAATCCAATTACCTAAAGTAACTGTCATGTTTTTTATGCATATCAACGTTGAAATATGCACAGCATTTCTTGTTGAGGGAGGACAAAGAGTGAAATGCCCAAATATTTCCTATTCTGTTATTATATTATATATAGAGTTGAATTCCCAACAGTGAGACAGCTGAGGCTGTGGGCATGTTCCCTGCACGACATGCTAACTGATGTCACCGGACGCTACAAATTCGAGCAGTTCTGTAAGAAACAGTATTGCTCTGAGAACATAAAGTTCTGGCAAGCCTGCACTGACCTAAAGCTATTACCACTGTTTGCCATACCTGGCTCTGTGAGGCTAGTATATGAGTAAGCATCAGGATGTATTGCCAATAAAGCATTTTTGTATCTTCTTTATCTGCTCTCATTCCTCTTTCTTTCTCTTGGCTTTTTTTTTATCTCTTAGTGAGTTTATTGATCCAAGTGCTTCACATATGGTTAATCTCAGTGCTACTGCTTTCGAGGAAGCTAGCAAAGATGTGGAAAACCCCTCAAGATATGCCTTCTCTGCTGCACAGGTCAGTCTGCCAGTCTGTCAATGATATCAGATACACTTCAGGAAGTAGTAAAATTAATTAGGTTATTCTTTCTTTCCTAGGAACAAGTGTATAGCTTAATGAAGAATGACATTTATCCACGTTTCCTGAAAACAGACTATGATGTCCTATTAAAGACTGCACACTCTGGAGGCAGCTTTGGAAAAGGGTACAACAGCATGACATAAAATTTGAAATTAGAATTAATGTTTTTTGTAGTTTTTTCAAGAGGTTAATTCCTCGGACTACAAGTCGTTTAGAGAAAGCTACACCAATCACAATAGTATCACCATGTCACCCAGAAAGATTCACTAGAAGACAAGTCAGTACATGATCATACTTACCTACTGTATTGGATTCTATCATATATATATTTATACTCATACAGCTAAGCATTAGTAAGAGCAATAGCGGTAGAAGCTCAATGGGAGATCTATTTGTTAACATTGGCGCCACTAACTGGGGCAGAGACACATCAGCATCAGCAAATGAGCTTGAATTTATGAACGCACTCACTTCGCCATCATCTGACCTCACCCTTGGGCCGAATAACCCAGATGAGAAACAGCGCCGAGTCTCTGCTCCTTCTGCCCCGTTCACAGAGACAGCACCGGTAGAGAAAAAGAAAGAAGAGCCAGAGAAAGAGAAAGTGTTGTGGGCCCTCAAAGAGGAGGACGACGATGAAGAGACAGAGTTAGAGAAAGAGAGAGCAAGATGCAAGCTGCTCAAAGGAGCCATTAGGACCTCCCTCATACAATCTCATAGCATGGATGACCTCACACAGATCGAGGATGATAATACTTCTCTCCACGTCCCGGGGCATGACTTCCAAACTCAACTAATGTCACTCAAAGTGTCCTCAGAGTAAGCCGCTAACATACCGTACCCACTCTATACATTTATTTGATTTGTCTTGTAGCATGTTTGACCAGGATATTGCATCCCTTGATCGCAAGAAATCTATCAGTATAGAAGACCTCCATCAGTTCCACACGAAATTCAAGCCGCTAGAAGAAGAAGAGAGCTTCTCCCCTGGTCATTATGCTGCTAAGGACCGGAGGGTCTCAAAGGCTAAAGTTGCTGCCCAAACAATGGTGACCATTACGGTCCCTTCTCCTGATTATAATTTCTACTCGAGCTCTGACAGCATTCACTCGGCGATAAGTAACTAACTGTGGGTTTGTTTGTATTTTTGTACTGTTTGTATTCATTCTCTATCTCTCTTTACTGCGTGAAAGTGAGGGAATTAAATAATTATTGATATTTTTTGAATCATTTATTTTTGTATTTTTTCTTTCTCGATAATTATTTTTTGAATTTTTAATATTAAAACTTTTTTGTGAAATTAAAATTGCCTAAGTTGAGTCCTTTCTTTATTGAACAATCCTCAAATTTGCAATGGTGGAAACTTGAGCAATATCAAGAGAATGAATGTTCCAGGCCTTCAGTGTCTTCCACATCTCTTCCTCAGCCTCCTTGTCTCCATTCAGAGCTTCTCTTGAGAGATGCTGCAGCAATTGAATAGCAACTGGATCATGATCCAATAGACAGGCAGCATCAACTGTCCTAAAGTGTGTTACAAAGAGATTACTATTGCAAATTAAAAATTCCTTCAAAATCCAAATTCAATCAGAATCCTCCCAAAATTCTACATCAAATGAAGAATTCTCTCCTTGCCATTTTTGATGAAATTTGGCCGAAGACTGTACCATAGTACATGGTCTTTGGCCCGATTTTGGAGCAACTTTAAAAATTCATAAAAAAAACTCAAAACTTACTACACATTGCACACAACATATAAAGTTTAGAAACACGTACAAATGAACAAAAATTGCCCCATCCCCAAATGCTACTTAGCCCCTACACAAACATACATGTACATGACATGTGTTGCTATTACAATAGAAACAATGAAGTTACGGTATCGTTTACTTTAGTATTGGATTGCTGGTGGCTTGTCTGTTCATATACTGAGAAAGGAGTGGAGACAGCACACGTGACATGTCATAATGTAACTGCGAACTACCATCATCATTAAAACTATTACTACAGATAACCTAATGAGAGAAAGAAGGAGGCATAAAAGACAGTAAAAGACGTGTATATTATTATTATCATCACCTGTTGTAGAAATATATTGTCGATACAAGTGCAAATTTTATCAAAGATCTCGTCCAAGAGTGAGGCATTGATAGAAGCTCTTATGCTGTGTAGTGTGTATTGCAATTTCTGAAGAAACAAACTGAGAGAATGAGATACTTCTAATTCCGACATCCCTTTGATTAATGTAAGATTATGCCACCTGAAAAAAAGAAATCAAGATCTCTACAAAGTACAAGAGCATCAATATGCATTAACAAAATTCCAGAGCCAATTTTAGAAAAATTAAGGCATGGCAACATGATTATTATTGTCATTTTAGATCTCTCTCTCTCTCACCTTTCTCTCTTATAATCAGCTATATTTCTCCTTGCAATCCTTGTCACATGTCCTATTAGTTTCTCCTTCATGTTCTCAGCGAGTCCCGTGAATGCTTCAATCACAGTATCAAATGCAGTTCCCTCAAGTTGAGCATAATCATGATCAATCTTCCGGAGTGACTCAATCTGACGGAGTACATCACCAATCACGCCTTTTCTGAATCTTTTGTCGTCTGATCTCAATTGCTGAGTATAATAATGCAACTCTAAAAAGAACTAATCAGCAGAAAGAAAGAAAAAAATTCATGATTTTAATCAGTTTAGAATCAAATGAAAGCTCACGGTCTCCTCTCCCCATTTCTGTAGTAGAGAGACCATATAGTCTGCTGCGTTGAGGTAGGCTGAGAACCTATTACTCAATGGGGTGGACTGGACTTTGCTGACATTATCAGCCAAATCTCTTTGGAACTCTAACAAGAGATCGACCTGAAGCTGCAGGAACTGGAGCCTTATGTATAGAGAAGGAATGCATCTGAATCTTTCTAAAAGAGAGAGAGAAAGAGAGAGAGAGGGTACAGTGTACAGTATAGCCTCTCTTAATGGACACTCCCTATAGCAAACACCTCCAAATAAAGAACATGCCCATTATATAGAGGCCCCACAGTCAAAAAACATAAAATGTATTTTTAATACTACTAACCAGTGATTCCAGCAATTATTTGCATTAGTTTCTCAGCACATTCAGGGACCAATTCCCTACTAGTGGATGAATCAGTTAGTCTGTCAGTGTATAGAGAATCCCATGAGGTCGGTGACTCTGATATAACTTTCAATCTTTCGGCAGCAACTGAAATTTAAAATTCAGGCAAAAAAGTTTTATGACATCAAAAATTAGACCAGCTACCAATGAACTCACATTGTCTCTCTAAATTCAGCCAGCGACAAAGAGGAGCTTCGTCTTGGAATACAAGAATGACGCTGGGATAGAGGAGAGGGTAGTGATGTACCTCGTGCAGCTCTTTCTCAAATAAGAGGAGCTCGTCAATCAGGTGAGACGTGAGGTAGTCGTCATCAAGCAGACATTGGCCCTGGGAGTGGTGGGAGGGGTCTAAATCATGACGGAGCTTTTGGACTATTTCTTGTAAAAGACCACGAATAAATTCAACCTATAAAAAAGTTAATTATTGACGGGCTATCGTGTTATTTTTTGACTGGTAACCTTAGCATTTATTTTAATTTTGGAACACTCGAGTAAAGTGGGTTGGACTTCAGTCTCTATAAAGTGAGTGTGGTCTGTTATCCACGTTGAGACTTGAGTAAAAAACCACTCTGGCTATTGTTAAAATTAAAAAAAAAAATTTATAATTCATATACATGTAGTTGATTGCTCACTTTTTCCTTTGAATTGGTTTGTCTGTTTCCACAAAAGTGATACTTGAATCTCTTACGAAGTGGAGATAAGAGTAGATCAATAGGAAGTGGTAGAGTGTCCTCCATTTTTGGAATATCCCGAGTTTCACTCTCAGTCTGATCGATGGCCAGGAGTTGCTTGAAATTAGCTGCAAAGAGGACTTGCTTTTGCTGCCAAAGTTGAAGGGACTTTGCTGAAGTGTCTTTTGTGATAGGCCAGTTAATTGTCTTTAGTAACTCATCAAAATTACTAACAATATAAATAAGAATAAAAGAAATTATCATGTTTAGTATTATTATTATTATTGTTATTATTATTATTATTGTTATCATCTTACTGTGATACTTTCTCTTTCAATTCGTTTCTTCTCTTCTCACACATTGTCCTTGCATGCATCTTAAGATTAGAGCAGTAAGAGGATGAGAGAGTCTCCGAAACAGATACTAACTCCACAAAATCTTTAATGGCCTCCTCTATCTCACCATCTTTACTTCCACAGGACAAAATTCTAGAACTAAAAAAAAATAATAATAACAAAAACAACAACAACATTATAATATCGTATGCTTTTTCATTTTATGCCTCAATTCTTTTACCTCAATTTTTGAACTCTATTTATCCATAATAAATATTTTCTCAGTCGCTCTATCTCATCAAGTTCTTTCAGTAGCGGTACAAGCTCCTTCATGCCAATATTTTCTTTTCCTTCTCTCATCTTTTCTTCTTCGGTTGTTATATCTTCTTTGAGGGTAAGTATTCTTCCTTTCAGTGACTCTAACTCGGTGATGGCTAGCCTGATCTCTCTCATGACTTTCTGCCAGTCACCCTTTTCTGCTCCTTCTCCTCTACCAGAAAGCTAAAATTTTATTTATAAAAAGTATCATGTGAATTGTTGTTTGATTTTACTTGATTCGAAAGGATTTTTCTCTCTTTTTTGAGTCTTTCCAAAACGTCTGGTAATATCTTGTAATTGCTGCCAACATTTTCATCAAGAAACTCGTTGATATCTGCAGAAGAAAGCGCCATTGTTAAATGTGGGTGAGGCTACAAAAGCATTTAGTCACGTGAAAGCACATGGATAAAGTGCACGGAGATGTACGGTAACCACGTGTAACAGCGGTATGTTATCATATGTATGTTAATGGGGTTAAAAATTATCTTGATCATGGCGACAATAAAGAGCATCATATCTGCAATGAAAGAACTGATATCTTCTGATCCTGACCCGCTGGCACCCTCTGGTTGGATGGAGAGGATACAATACAATTTAAAGAAGTCCAGGAGCAATCCTATTCTTACCTCAAGTGCCATTAAAGACGTAAAATTGAAATACAAACTGGAATTACCATTAGACCAGAGGGATGAAGATTATCAGTGGGGATTTGTGCTTGAGAGTTTGGCATTATTACTACTCCTCCGTAACACAATAAATAACAGCCCATCTTTAGAAGGAGACCCTGCAGCAATGCTTAGTTTATCAGATAATAAAACTACTAAAGGAATTTGCCAGTTTGTACTATCACTTGGTCTCCATTTATATCTTGATGCTAAAAGACCCATCAGTCCTTCTGCTACTGGGATTAACACAAGTACTAAGTTGATTCCTGAATCAGTAAAGAGTGAACGCATTTGTATTATCATCCACTCTCTTTGTGATTGCTTGGATTCAGAAGAGCTTTCCTCCATAATACTCCAGACACTACTAACAGGTCTTCTTGCTGGACTGTTCCAAATTATCTACAAGCCACTCCTTGAGTCTGCCTCTCCATCTCCGTCCACTCCTCGTGTTGTATCCAAGTCTTTCTCAGATCCAGAAGTATTTGAGAGTCATTTAAAGAACCTACTAAAGGCTCTACCTCGTCCTCTCTTAGTCAGGGAGTTACTCTCACTGCAAGTGATGGGAAGGACTCGGAGGTCTGGGTTGTTGTGGTTGCGTAAAGCATGTGGGGAGCATCTCTCAAGAGTACTGATGGAGTCCAATGGTGTCCAATCTGTTCTACGAGGAATATTTGAAGCCTCAACTGGTTAGTGTAATAATAAATGAATATCTATTTTATTGCCATTATTAATTCTTTGCAATTAAATTTCTGTTAGGCAATGATGGGTTAGTTAGTGAGAGCGTCACTGAATCCTCTCAGAATTGGCACAAGTGCCAATCTATAGCTCAGATATTATCCAGCTGTCCATTACAAGCTGAATCCATTGAGAAATATTACTCTCTTGTCTGCCCTCAAGTAAAGCAAAAATAAAGTCTCCATTTCACATTTGGAAATATAATTTAGATACTCTCTCTTATCGGTCTTCCTCCTGATGGGGTTGGTAGACATTTTTTAAGAGTTGCTGTTTGCACTGTGACACAAATGCTCTCCAAGCAATATGATCTGTCAATGAAGTACATTGTGATTCCACTACTTAGGCCACTATATGTATTGACTGAAGGTAACAAAAAATTTTTTATCATAAAAATTTTTTGATTTTTTTAGATGGAGATTTTCAAGATATTACCCAATTGGCATCTTCAGTGGAAATTTGTCTTAAGAATTTAAATAGAGTCAGGCTATCATTGTTTTAATGATGAGTTTTAAAAAAGTTATTGTTGTTAGATCTTAGAAGTTATTGAACCAACGTCACTTGTAGTGACGTCATTGGCAGAGTACTTACCTCTTCTCTTTGATATTTGGAGCTGCACACGAAAATATGAGGCACTAATCACAAAGTACACTCCCTAGTCCCTCAATTCATTTCTTTTTGTACTAAGTACTAAATATTATTTTTAAGCCTCATTTACTAATGTATAATTATTATGTATTTATCATTATGCTTCATAGAAAGTTTGAACTGATTCTGATCAAAATTGAGACTTTTAGATTTGGCCAAAGTCCCTGTACTATAGTACAGGGATTTTAACCAAGTTTCACCAAAAATGAAAAGTTGAGAAATCTCCATTTTAATAATTTTTTCTGATACATATACATGTACTTATGTTGCGTAGAAAGTTTGAGTTGCTTCCGATCAAAATTGGATTTTTTATGAATTTTTTACTTTGCTCAAAAATCGGGCCAAAGTCCCTGTACTATAGTACAGGGATTTTGACCAAATTTCACCAAAAATGAAAAGTTGAGAAATCTTCATTTTTATAATTTTTTATGATGCATATACATGTACTTATGTTGCGTAGAAAGTTTGAGTTGCTTCCGATCAAAATTGGATTTTTTATGAATTTTTTACTTTGCTCAAAAATTGGGCCAAAGTCCCTGTACTATAGTACAGGGATTTTGACCAAATTTCACCAAAAATGAAAAGTTGAGAAATCTTCATTTTTATAATTTTTTATGATGCATATACATGTACTTATGTTGCGTAGAAAGTTTGAGTTGCTTCCGATCAAAATTGGATTTTTTATGAATTTTTCAATTTGCTCAAAAATCGGGCCAAAGTCCCTGTACTATAGTACAGGGATTTTGACCAAATTTCACCAAAAATGAAAAGGTGAGAAATCTCCATTTTTATAATTTTTTCTGATACATATACATGTACTTATGTTTCATAAAAAGTTTGAGCTGGTTCTGATTAAAATTGGATTTTTTAGGAATTTTTTTAAGTTGCAAAGTTATCTGAATTTTGGCCAAATGATATTTTTTCTTTATTTCTAATATTTCTGAGACACTGAAAGTTTAATCATAATTTTTTTTTGATTAGAAAATCAAAGCAATGTCTCATCTCCACTTTCAAATTATCAGACAGCCTTACTCAGTTAGAATTTCTGAAGTTCCTCCTTCATATTCACGAAACAGACACACAACGCTTCAAAGCACTGAGAAGTGACATCAAAATTACATTATCCACCAAAGGAGGAGACTTGATTATTGCAAGAGAAGAAGAGATGAATGTTTCTTCTAAAACATCCTCTGAAACAATGTCAGAAATTGGAACGGCCATCACTGATCTTGTAGAGGGAGAATTGAAATCAACCGGAATAAAATCAACACTGTTCACATACTGCATGGAATATATTGGAAACCTATTAGCTAGTGAAGCTGGCTTACAAAAGACAAAGAAGCAAGAGACAGCTCAGCCAATGAAAGGAGCATCTAGTAGGACATTATTGGACTGGGAGAGGTCATCAATGCATAGCAGTGAAGGAGTTTCATTCTCTAATGCACTGGTACTGTATCTACTAGCTTCTCTTTGTGAGGGAATGGACATAGAAACTATAAAAACACTAGACCTACAATCAACTGTACAAGCATTGGCATTACTTGTCAAATCTCATGGCATTTACCATCAAAAAGACAAGCCCATTTCCACTAGACAAGAGGAAGGGAAAGAGACTGAACTGCTAACAGGAGGTGACGTGACTCTAAGTATTGCATTTGGATTACTGTCAGCCATACTGGCCAGTGAAAAGAAGGTATGACGTACATGTACATTCATTTTATTCTCTCTCTCTCTCTCCTTTTAGCTTAATCCTAGACTTCAATCAGTTCTTACAAGCCTCTTACCTTATTTGGAATCTTTAGCGTGTCACTGTCCTAATGAGGAGCTCTCTGGGCTTGCTGAAGACTTGAGGATATGTATTGCCACACTGGGATCAGTTTGGTCCGAAAAAATGACGGAAGGAGTGACTGAAATGACAAAAAAGAAGACAAGGGAAGAGACTCTAGACAAAGAGAAGGTTGATTCTCTTCATTCTTCAAATGCAAGAGCTTCAAGGCCATTGATTGAAGTGATTGGATCAACTGACAACAATGAGACACTGTATGCAAGAGCTTTGAAAGACATACAAGACTCACTCATTCCTGTAAAGGGTCACGGCCTACAGCAACTGAGTCAACTTGTAAGAAAAAAAGACAGCGAAACTCTTGCTCACATTGACCATACAATCGAGCTGTTTCTGACACACTTGGGTCACAGTGACACTTATATATACCTGCCATCAATTCAAGGGCTGGTGGAGCTAGCCTCTCTCGTACCAGACAGAATAATACCACTCATGTGCAATGAATATGCACAATTTAATGAGGCAAGGAAAGCTAGAGCGAGTTGTGGTACTCTGGAAGGTAAGAGTATAGACTGGCTGGTTAAGTTAGGTGAAGGATTGGTGAGGGCATCTCGTGAATGTGGAGACCTTTTACCAAAGTATTCCGAGTCTCTTCTGGCAGCTGTTCTTTCAAATATCAAGCACGGTGATCCACTCGTCAGATCATCAGGTTTGTCAAACCTAGCTGATATATGCTCCAGTCTTCACTGGTCATTCACTCCTGTTGAAAATGAGGTGCTGAAAATAGAGACCAATTATTATTTATGTACATGTATCCTGTAGGTTGTTGAGTGCTTGGAGAAAGTATTAAAGACTGATAGCGATCCGACTGTAAGACGTGGAGCCATTAGTGTTACAAAGCATCTCTTTAAAGGACTTGGTACAAATATTGACAAAGTAAAATGCCTATTATTATTTCCTTGACTTTAAAATAAGTGTTTTAGGTTCTTCAAGGAGGTTCCCTGTTGAGTCTCTATCGTATGTTAAAGGTTTGCGAATCGTCAGATCCTGACCAACTCACAAGGACTCATGCACAGTCTGCCCTAGCAGAACTGGGAGATGTAATGAAACTCATTCTCTTTCCACCACCCAACTCTCAGAAACTATGCAAGAAAATATCAGTACTAGACCACATTAATTGAAACAATGACAATAGTTACTGAACAGCACTTCCTTAAATACACATTACTTCTAAAGTTCAAAGTTCTCAAGCAGAATGTGCCAGGCACATGCAGTGTTGTGGTTGGTTAGATAATACTGACCACAATTAGCATGTACTTCTACCCAATGCAAATTATAAGGAAAATGACATCATCACTATAAAAAGTACTATCACAGATAGTAGATCTACGACTATATAGTTATGTACAGTATAATCTTTTTATTATAATCAAAATAATTTGTTTAAGGTAACATGCAGCAACTCTATTGCCTACAGACAACAAAGTTGCTTCGCATTTTAAAGGGTGAGGTTAATTGGAGGAAAGGACAATGAATGTTTGTGTTTTTGTGTCTCAAAGTTTGGCAGATTCAGAGTTGACTGAAAGTGAATCTCCATCTTCAGGCTGGGTCATGATCACTTCGTCATCTCCCATTGAAGCAAAACGAAGTCGAGTATTACTTCCATGCTTACGTCTCAATAATACAACAACTATAATAACTCCAACAACAGAAACGGCAATAATGATCATTAGCAAGATGATCGGTACTGATATTCCAACTGCTGTTGTAATGGCTCCTGACTCCGACCTTGCTAAAAATCAAAATAAAAAAATATATATATAAGGACTTAAAGATGATAATCATAAATGCCCACTATCGAACACTTAAATTCAAAGCAAATGAAATATAATCTTACCAGTAGGAGTTTGTACAATGATTGACATTGAAGCTGATTTTGACATTGAAGCTGATTTTGACATTGAAGCTGATTTTGACATTGAAGCTGAGGTTGACATTGAAGCTGAGTTTGACATTGAAGTTGCCAAGCTGATACAAGAAGCTGAGGAACACTGTTGACAAGTGTTTAGTGGTATGACAGTCTTTGGTATTACATCATTCTCAGTAAAAGGAGTCTTTAATTTCACCTACACAAACAAAAGCATGCATGACTTCTTAGTTCAAAAAAATTATTAAGTACTGTGTGATACATCATACATACACATGTATAGATGTGAATAAGTTGATGTGTATGCTGATACCTCCAATGTGATAGTATCATTGACTTTATTCCTATCAATCAGTACCATCAAGTAGAGTCCATTTGCATCAGATAATGGTATACTTGTTGTATTAGTCACTACCTCATCATAAATCTTATTGTTATCAGGATCGTACACAGTCACATGAAAACCAGGTGGGTTATTACAAGGCAGTATCTGAAAATTGCTATTGTAGCCAGTCACAGAACACTGAATGGTATCACACTGTGGATTGGTACTGCACTGGTGAAGGAGAGAACGATTTGCAATACTCCTCAAAGAAGAACAAGTCTCAGAGCTTGTGATAGGAGTTGGTGTTACACTGCTGGTCGTGGTAGTTTGTATGTTAATGAAAGTACTTGTCATCATCATCATTGTACTGGGCATCAGTGACATGCTTGGTGAGGATAATACTGGACAATGTGATTTATCCAGTATAATCTGACTCTCAGGGACAATGTGGTAGATGGTAGTAAAAACTCTAAGTGTCACCTAATACAAAAAATAAGTCTAGCAAGCATTCTAAGTAGCTTATTTTGGAGAAAATTAATTTCTCAAACTTACAGAAACCAGCATGGAGTATTCTCTATGGACGATGGTCACCCTCAGCGGAAGAATACTTACAAATGTATCCCTTGACGTATTAAAATATTGATCAAAAATAATTGCCCCAGCAGAATTAGTAACAATGAGGATAAATCCTGGAGGATGTGAACATGGTTCCACTTCAGACTCAAAGTTGTACTGTCCAAGATTAGGCACATTTAATCCACACTGCATCCCTGTACAGTTAGAGTTGTTGGAACAAACTGAATTGCCTGGTAGTTCCATTTGTGTAGTTTCAATAACGTCTTGTACCGATTCACATTGACAATACGAGGCATTGAGCAAGACAATTGTTTCTGGTACAAGCGTCCACAATGATCCCATTACACTAATGTATGACTGAGAGGAGGAGAGACAAAATGTGTTGTTACTAACTCACACACATTAATGTAATTGTTACTGTAAATAAATCCTTAAAAACAGATGTCAAATGCAATTATATATAAAATACATTATTAGTATTCAGAGTGTAGTGTCATTGGAATGATTCAGTTAGTACAGTTCATGGTACATGATGTGGTGGTTGAGTACTATTGAAGATAATACAATATTAGCTCAAAAACTAATTATTGGATGGACATGCATACAATTTAGTTTACATAAAATAGCTCTTTGAAGCACATTCCAGGTAATCTTGTTATGCTCTCATTTAAAGTAGTAGTGGATAATAACAACAATAATAATCCTCTCTGCATGCATAACACAAAGGTGACGAGCCACAACGAGTGTATGATAAAGGGGCAAAGAAGAGGCAAAAAGAATCTTACTGTGTGGTACCTGTATGAAGAGATGTGATGCGTTACGACTGATATTCCAATGCATCTGGTGAGTTGCATTGCCAAGTACAAAAGTGTCGTTGAGCTGTTTAGTGGATATCAAGGCTCCAGTCTCACTATGAAGTATGGTGTAATTGACGAGCACAGGGTCAGTGCAACTCTGTACGCTAAAGGAGACGTTCCTCTTTCGCAAGGAATTGAAACAGAACAGACCATTGCAGGTGTCCAGCGGTGTGCAAGTAGTCTGAAGTGCTGACGTGTAGGAGATGCTCGTACAAGCTTGGGCTGCAACTGTAGCTAAAAGAAAAGAACAAGTTCAAGTTAAAAGGTATTGCCTGTTGACTAGCAAGACTACTGACCTATCAGTCCAACCAAAAGGAGGAATAGAGTTCGGAACACCATACTCCCTCGAGACTAGCTTACTACTGAATGAAGGTGTAGCTGCACATATGGGATCGATTGGTGTATGTTCACCTTGCACGAAACTCCGTAAATCTCCGTGTCATTAATATCAATAAAAAATAAAATTAATTATAAATTATTCATATTGACTATTGCTCTTGCTCTTCTTCTTCCCCCTCTTCTTCTTCCCACTCTTCATCATCATCGTCATCGTCATCATCATCATCGTCACCGCCATTGTACTCATAATTGTAATGGTATCCTCCTCCAGTAGCACCTACTGTCTCATCACCATACTCATCATACTCATCATCGTTATATCTCTGTCTACCAAACTTTACAGTTCGAGCTACACAATTGAAAACCAAAGCAATGTAATGATCATGCAGTGCTACTACACAATGCATTAAAAATATCATTAGCATTAAAGTAATTTAAGAGTTCTGGAGTGGAGTGCTAATACAACAGCATAAAGAGATGTTAATAAGCTTACTAGACATGCTAAGAGCTTTTGTTTCCTTTGTAGTGAATCCACACTTTGGACAAGGGAAGGCCTCTCCTACTACATACTTAATACCTTTCCTTTTCACATGTGTATCACAGAAACATATCTACATGTACCAGAAGAAAATCACATGTGACATAATGTACATGGACTTTTCTTACCTTACACCTTAGACAAGAATGCTGACCCAGCTTATTGCATGAGGCACCTAAAGAGAGAGAGAGAGAGAGAGAGAGAGAGGGAGGGAGAGAGAGAGGGAGGGAGGGAGGGAGGGATGGAGGGAGGGAGAGAGAGAGGGGGAGAGAGAGAGAGAGAAGATTATCTATAATAAATAATTTTGTACACATACATTTAAGTGTCTCAGAGTCTAGTTTCTGACAGCTGGCCTGATGTTCAAATTGATCATCTTCACACAGGAACCCTTCACAATAAGGACACTTGAACACACGCCCACCTATTATAGTAAGAAACCATAAGTACCATTATACAATACCATTAGTACAGTGCTCTCTCTCTCTCTCACCGTGTTCCCAGACTGTCCTGTTACATTCAATACAAGCAGCATCGGCTAGTGGACAAGAGCAAGCATGAGTCTGGAGACATCTTCTACTGTGGCAGACCCATGCCTCACAGAAATCACATATAGCACCCTGGAAGAAAAGAAATGAAGACAAGAGATATAAAAGATAGAAGAGAGTTTTACCACTAAGCTTAATCCAGTGACATACAGTCCATGATGCTTTACAACACAATCCCCTCCCTTTGCCATGCACTTAGTCTTATCTATAAATAATTGAATGAAAATATGGAACGAAAAAAGCTAAATTACCGCAGTGACAGCATAAAGGAAGTTTCTGGAGCGAGTGGCAAAAATAGCAAAAGGCTCTATTTTTCTGTCTCCTGTAATGATGCTATAGTCAATACATTGTTAAATGATATTAAATGATCATCACAATCTTCATTTACCTCTGACATTTGTCACATTCCTATTTTAAAATTATAAATCATTAAAAATATTAATAATAATAGTTATATATACATTCTCTTTGCTTTACCATAAGTTTATTGCAAGGGTGCTGGACCAAACTCTTCGCCTCAGAACAACTCTTTATCTCTTTCTGTCTCTCCTTTTGCTTGTCAGCCTTTTTTCTTGCTCCTGTCTTTTTCTTAGGCATGTTAAATTGTTAATAATTTCTGTTCAAACTCCACCCATAGACACGCCCATTTAACATGTCTTCCAACACAGAGGCCTCCACGGAATCTGTCTCTGAATCATTGGCTGAAAAGAAATATGAAGTTTTAAAGAGAAAATGTGACAGTCTGGAAGAGGTTTTTCTATTTTATAAAAATGTATGCATGTCAACATAGATTATCTACCTTCATCCAGACGAATGAGACACTTCGACAGAAGCTAACCAAAATAAGAAAAATGATATCGGAGGCAGAAAAGGACAAAAAGTGATTAAGTAAATCAATGATCTATACAACACCGTTTATGTTTTAAGGTTTCTTGAGAAAAGACTTCAAGGTTATGAGAGTGAAACTCTGTCGACAATCAACACAGAGACTACAAAAGCAGTTCCTTCTCAGACTCATTCTGGTACCAAAAATGCTCTCCCAGTTCCTCATCAAACGACATAGTCTTCAGTAGTATTGTTTTAATGTATTTAGAACTGACACCTGTTGCATGTATATTATAATTTTATCAAGAAAATTCTTAGACTTAGCTTAGAATCCTAAGTCCTTAACAACAACCAACAAACAGTTCACATTGTACCAATAAATGAGAGTAGATAATATGCAGAGTGCATGAGAGTGTATGTACACGTGTGACATTTATTTAATTAAAGTCATGGAGTCCTTAACGATTCATTCGTGTTAATAGAAACCATCCATTCCAGCTCCTCCACTATTGAACATGGAGGGGTGGGCCTCTGATTGATAAGAGTCCATCATTCGACTAGCATATCCACCAATGCTCATGTTAATGGAGCTACGAGGACGGCCACTACCGGCACCAGACTGAAGGCGACAGACCATAGGCATACCTTAGAAATAAAAATAAAATTACAAAAGAACCAATTAAAAATTCTAATCGCAACATGCATAATAAAATTCTCTGAGAAAATTTTTAAAAACATGGGCTATAATAGTTTAATAGTTTTAAAAATAAATGTATACTCACCATCAAGGTTTCGCTGGTTATATTTCTTAAAAGCTTCCAGTGCATCGTCTTTATAACGATAAGTGACTTCAGCCACACCAGGTGCTATCATATTGACTGTCTCTACTGGCCCAACAGCTGAACAAAGCTCCTATGGATACACAATCATCAAAGGATCAATAGACTTTTATTTGGCTTACGGAAACATCATTACGTGAGACAGTGTCATTAAGATTAGAAATAACAAGAGTAGTAACTGTAGTGAGTCCACGCTGCTGCTGCTGCTGTCTGGGGGGAGGAGGAGGGGGAACAAATGAGTGAGGACGTGGCTCGTACCCACGGGAATCAAACTGATGATAGTCATTGGGAGAGGTTGAGCGATGCTATAGATAAAACAAAAAGATGGAGATATAACATGATGTAGGACCAAATAAGAGTCATAATTACACATACATGTACATGTATTAGCATTATTTTGAAATGAAATACAAACAAGTCATACCCTTGAATATTGCTGCTGTGACGGCTGGCTCCTTATCACACTGTGAACTTGAGGGGCTACTCCAGCCCCTCCTCCTCCTCCTCCAAGAGCTGAAGTGATGGCAGACGCAAGGAACTCTTCCCTGCTCTTCATGAAGCTGTGCTGGCGTATTTCTTTCTGTCGTGTTATGGCAGTAGCAAGTCTCTCCTCTTTACGATACATCTAAGAGAGGGAGAGAGAGAGAGAGAGCAGCAAAACAGGATGAGGGAGAGAAGATACACTGTAGTTCAATAATGAGTACCATTGTCAACTTCTTCAGATTCATTGACTGCAGTTTATGTTAAAAGCTTAATTTTACTAAAAATCCTTTACAACTACAAATCAAGAATGCTTTTTGATTTGTACAATAATTATCAAGAGTTATATGCTAAATCGCTAATATTGTTAGACAGTTGAAAGGTTATTATTATTACACTATGCTCATTGGCCGGCAGTCAGTTGAAGATTCGATTGTGAATGACATTGCATGGAATGAAGGTCATGAGCATCTCATTATGACCATACAAGCTCTGTTAATGAACAATTGATCAACGGTTAACCACATCATGACTACGAGGTTTACGTCCCAGCGTATTGTAGATTAATAATATCAGGAAACTGTAGATTTGTACTGAAGGCCATTCGTATAAGGAAATGTGTGGTTGCACTGTAGATAAAATATCGATAGCATGATCCAATTAGAGTGAGGTTCCTGTAGTTTAATGAGTGATAAAGGTCCTGATACGAAGCGTAAAGTTCAATGAATATGGCGGGTGCCTTTACTTTTGTATTGATCGAATTTTTTCTTTACAAATTTTGTGCAGGGTCTTCAGCACAGGAGACAAACGAAAGATACTCAACTTCTGTGAGTCTTGATCCATTTTTTATCAAGTTAACGGCAAACGATACTTTATCTTTAAGATCCTTATATAATTCAATGGTTTTATCTGATTCGATACGACATAAAACGATTGTTTTACCTCCTTGTTTAATTTGATACGATACGTGTATGTGAAATGATGGTTTTATCTTTGTGTATAATTTGAAACGATAATGATTTTATCTTCTTATAATTTGGTATTATATGAAAGGATGGTTTATCTTTGTGAATAATTCAATTTCGATACGAAACAATGGTGGTTTAATCTTCAGGATCTTTGTATCATTACACAACATTCCTCAAGTTAATCACAGTTCTCCTCTCCATACAGCTGCCAGCCATTATGCAAGTATCAAAAATGCAAGCTCATTGCAACATCACAAGATTAAAAAGCTTGTAACAATTACATGTAAAGGCTCATTTACAATTACTACATTCTTTTAAGCCAATTACATGTACTTTTAAATTTTCTCTTACATGTACATGTGTCAGTCTCAGCCCACAAGCTCTAACTTTTATCATTTAATGCTACTTGTACTCGTTGTGCTAAGAGCTCAAATGTAAATCATTTCTCTTGCAGTACATGTATGTACGTATGCCTCCATACGTTCATCTGTCAAAAATTCGATTTTTGAAACATCAAAAATTGAATTCACATGCCACCTTACAAGCCGCAGGATTGCCACGGGGACATGAGGTGGTGAAAATGAGCAGAGCCTGAACAGGAAATCAGTGATAGACCCCTTACCTCGCTCGTGGTCTTGCTCAGTCCTTGGACGGTTACTGTTATCTTCTTTGCCTCGGATGATGTTGGTAGACGACGGCCAGACGGTGGAGACTGTTCCTTCAAACTTCTGGTACTTCTTGTAGGTCGCTGCTTTTGGAACAGCAACTGATGGTCAGACATTGAGGGGTATGTCTTTGAAGATTTTATCTGCTGCTTGCTTGTCCTCCCTCCACTTCCTAGCTTGCTATTAGTACTGCTACCTATTGATAGCCTTGATCCTCCTCCTCCTCCTCCCTTTGCTTTTGAAAGCTGTTTTGGTGGTAGTTTTAAACGGAGGTCGGTCACACTGGGTTTTGTCTTTGATATAATAACGTCTCTGAGGTCATTGACTCCGCCTTTTCCTCCTCCATCACTTCTCGAGAATCCATTTTGTTCCGTTTTTCCAACTTTAGCTCCAAAGTTCCGATCATGGAAATTGGCTCCGCCTCTTTTTGAATTAAATCCGCCAGAGGCTCCACGTCCAGTTCCTCTAAAGCCACGCCCTCTCCCACGGAAACCAGCACGGCCACGATTATTAACCAGCTCGTCCAATGGTTTGTCAAAATTAGATGCCATTTTACTTTATTTTGATTTAGGTTTTATGACGATTCACCAAAACTTGATTTCGGGTATTCTTTTTTGCAACAAATAGTAGACTATTTCAACGACAAAGACTCACGTTCGCTGGAAGACTGATCGCTTCTATGCTGTGCGTGTGTAGCGGGGCGTGTCCGGAGCTTTCCCTCTTCTCCTTTTAAGACAGTAATGAAGACTATAGTTTGGTGGTCCAATGTACGTATGTAAAGCTGCCGGGGAGACTATGAAAGGATTGCAAGGCAAGTGACAAGGCTCCTCTTTCTTTTTGAGCACGATGTTTGGATTGTATGAACGCAATTATGACGTCTGAATACCGCCCCAGATCTGCAGATCTAATGAATATTAATGAGAAGAGCTAGATTGGATTCTAAATATTCGCATAGCAAGAAATAATTTTATGTTAAAAAACCGTATGTATTCACTTTTTCATAATTAGGTACCCAAGTAAAATGTACACAACAACCAGGGAGCAGCAGCAAAGAATGAAAATAGAGAAGGGTACACAGCACCAGAGGACCTACAGTTTCACTAATACAATGGTTAGACCATACCCTTCATTTAAATCCCATAAAATATCTCTCAGAATCCTATACTGAGCGGTTCTTCGCCAATATCCTCCAGACCAATTAGAAGCAGTTCATTCAATAACGAAGAATGGCCACCTCTAGGCCCACCTCCATCATGTTAGGCAATAATTCATTAATAACATAATGTCACTCTCTCCTATGTTAACAGACAATGCCTCCAAAGGGCGTCATTCTGTAGCTTCAGACATTTTGATTGTCCCTGGCATCGATAGCAGGGACAGTTGTTCGGTAATAATTTACTTTAAAATAAAAAATACATCAACTTTACTTGTATTTTATAGACACCGACTAACTATTCTGGCTCACTCCTTCGGCAAGGCTCCATGCCCTCATCTCGTGGTCTTATATCACCTATGACCAATCAGAGCAATCCAGAGGAGGATTTCAAAGTGACCCTCCCTTTCTTTTCTTTCTCCTCTCCCTTTTATAATATCATTTATCCCTTATCTTGTAATCCCTTCCCTTTTTTCATCCTCCCCTTTTTTCTTTCTACTGATTCTCTTTCTTTCTCTTCTCATAAGGAGATCATTGTTCTTGCAGAGTCTGATAAACACGAGCGTCTCTTATGCCCTCTTTGTGGTGGAGTCTTCAGGGATCCTTACATCGCTACTTGTGGGGTAAGTCAAAGCTTATAAAATAATTTGTAATCAGAATGAGCCTAAAAAGTCTATTTTTACTAAATTTGTTGAAAATGAACAAAATTTGACTCAGAAAATTTTAAAAATACTTAAGTTAAAATACTCATTATTTTTGTGCTTTCATGTATGCAGGTATGTATGTGTGTATTATAATTGTTCTTATTCTAGCATACGTTTTGTTCACCGTGTCTAAGATCTGGCCGGGAAGGTTAGTCCTTTATCTTTTTAAGTTGCTATTTCTCTTTTCTGTCACTACAGAAGTCTGTCCCATTGATAATATAGTACTATCAATGGTAGTTAAGAATCTAGCGGTTAGTTCATTAGCTCACAGCTCCTCCAGCTGGTCATCATTTGGTTTGTAGGTAGCAGAGCAAGTCGGTGAGCTTCACATTCATTGCCGGTTTGGATGCAAGCAGAGCCAGGAAAAACCCTGGCAATACGAACCAGATCCACTAGGTAGGAGAGAGAGAGGGAGGGAGAGAACTTAATTTTTTATGCTTCATTTTTATACTTAATTTTTGAAAATTTCTAGGCTGTCCGATGATTTTGAAACTTGCCAATAGAGAGTAAGCCACACAATTTAATAAATTAATTGATTTAATTATTATTTTTTGACAGTGAACATGAGAAGGAGTGTGACTATGCTCCTGTCAAATGTCCCAATAGCTCATTATGCCCTCCAATACTGAAAAGGGTAGGAACCATATTATAATAAACATTTCATTCATGACTCCTTTCTTTGTTGATCATGCCATCTTGTAGGATTTAAATGATCACTTAAGGTCTTGTAGACATGTTCGCTGCCCCCACCATCGCTTCAAGTAGGAGGAATACCAAACAATAAAAATAATAGTCATGCTGTGTGTCTTGTTCTTTCTTCTCTAGTTGTCCTTTTGAGGGGACTAAGGAAGAGATGGCCCACCATTTAGAGATATGTAAATTTGAAGGACTAAAAGTACAGAGCTACACATAATACATGTATGTGTGTATGTTCAATACACACACACTCTCACACAGGGCTATCTAGCAAGAACAGAAGACAGTATATCACAGCTGCAAGCGGAGATTAAACAGAAAGATGATGAGATTAGTTTCCTAAGGTCGATGCTAGCAGGTCTCTCAGACAAAATTGATCATTTGGAGAAAGGGGCAGTAGGAAAGATAGGTATACACATACTTTCAATGATAATAATACAGTAATTATGTCTGGGTTTCCCACAAAGCATGCTTCTTGAACTGACAAGCCTTATAGTATGTAGTGTCTTTAAAATTCCTTTCAAAATTAAAATTTGATTGGAATCAGCTCAAATTCGAAACATAAGTACATGTGTATGTATCAGAAAAAATTATAAAAATGGAAAATTTTCTCCTTTTTAATTTTGGCCAAATTTGGCCGTATGGGGTATTTTATTAAATTTACTGACAAGAAGCTAAGCGCTATGTCGAAATCCTGTGGGAACACTGCGATTTGTTATTTTAGGGGATGTTTAATCTATTTTCATTGTTGACATAATTTTTAAATTCATTTTTATATGTTTAAATTCACAGAGCAACTTGATGAGAGACAGGTGAAGCTGTCCAAAGATGTATCCGATGCACGGAATGCAGTCGATTTTGTGATGGCAAGTGATTTATCTCCTCAAACTCTCGTTCATTTTCTTTTCTTAGAATGAGTTACAGCACGTCCAAGTCCAACTCGGAGTAGCTGGAAGTAAGTAATTGTATCTTTGCTCACTCACTCTCTTTTCTCTCTCTCTTAGCTATGGACCTTCAACATATATTCAAATGTAAAGGGACATTTGTTGGTCACAGTGTAAGCTGTTTCTTTTAATTGCTGTCCCTCTGATTCCTCCCTTCTCCTCTTTTAGGGTCCTGTCTGGGCACTCTGTGTGATTAATGACCTTTTGTTCAGTGGCTCTTCTGATAATACCATAAAAGTGAATCCTTTATTGTCACGTGACAGTCATGTGATCATCAGTAGGTATGGGATGCTGCCATTGGGTTCAAGTGTATAAAAACTCTCACAGGTCACGATGGGATTGTACTAGCCCTCAGGCAATTCGGGTAATGATGAAAATATCGAACTTTTACAATTTTTAAGCAAATGGTCAATTCTTTTACTTGTGCAGGGATAATTACATGTACAGTGGGTCTGCAGATCAAAGCATTAAGAAATGGGATATTGAGAAGTTTCAGGTCATCAGCACAATAGCTGCTCATGAGAACCCAGTCTGCACCCTGACCACCAGTAACGATAGGCTGTTCAGTGGATCACTTAAAAGTATTAAAGTGAGTCCCTCCCTTTCCTCCTTCTCTTTCACCTTTCCTCCTTACCAAAGGTATGGGACACTGCTAATAACACAATGATAAAGGAGCTACCAGCCCAGAACCACTGGGTCAGATCCCTCGTTGTCTCAGACGTGTATCTTTACTCTGGCTCATATCAAGCCGTGAAAGTGAGGCGCCACTGCATTTGCAGCTATATTTAGCTACCATATCGTATCTGTTTTTAGTAACAAGAGCATTAGAATCTAGTTATAGTGATTATTTGTTTTTTCTTTTGCTACAGATATGGGACTTGATGTCATTAGAGTGCATTAGAGTATTGGAGTGTCTTGGAGGGAGTGTCTATTCACTATTAGTCACTGCTAACTATGTAGCATGTGGGACGTACGAGAATAAGATCAATGTATGAAACCAGAGATTGTACAACATTACATGTATGTATCACCCATGTATATTATAGGTATGGAACATTGAGACACTAGAGTCTGTTGGTCAGTTAACAGGTAAGGATGAAACACTGTCTAATGAAGGATGACTTTGGTTTAATTTATGGAGAATTTTGTTCTACCAATTTTTTGACAAAATACCATAATAATGACAGTAACCAATAGCTAACACATTCTCTTTTATAGGTCATTTTGGTATAGTCTATGCATTACATGCTATTGAGACTCCTGGCCAGACTAAACTCTTCAGTGCCGCTTATGATAAAACTTTAAGAGTAAGAACACACTTATACACAGGGTGCTCCGCAATGCATGCGCTAAGTGAACTAACAGCATGCTTAATAGGCTGGCAAGCACTGCAAGTACGTGGCATTTGGAGCAACTTTAAAAATTCGTAAAAAATCCAAATTTAATTGGAATCAGCTCAAACTAGATATACAACATAAGAACATGTATATGTATCAGAAAAAATTATAAAAATGGAAAATTCTCACCTAGCCATTTTTGGTAAAATTTGGCCCCACCCCTGTACTATAGTACAGGGACTTTGGCCTGATTTTGGAGCAACTTTAAGAATTCATAAAAAATCCAAATTTGATCGGAATCAGCTCAAACTAAGTATACAACATCAGAACGTGTATATGTATCAGGAAAAATTATTAAAATGGAGAATTCTCTCCTTGCAATTTTTGCCAAAATTCCCTGTACTATAGTATTAGGTCTTTGGCCCAATTTTTGAGCAACTTGACAATCCACTGACAAGAAGCTGAATGAGCGCTATGCCAAAATCCCATGGGAAATTCTGCCTACGCACACAACTATTTCTTTCTCTATCCTACTTTATGTTCCTTCTCTATTAAGGTGTGGAATATGGAACATTTGACATGCTCTCAGACATTAATAAGACACGAGAGTAGTGTCACTTGTCTTGCTATGGCAAGAGGCAGGCTGTTCTCAGGGTCTGTAGATTCAACTATTAAAGTAAGGAATGGGAATGAGAGTATGAGTATGAGGCTGAGAGAATAGGAATGTAAACTGATGCATGTATTTTTTCTCAAGGTATGGCAGTAAACGAACCACCAAAGATTACATTTTTATTAACCTTTACCAATCGTTTTATGGAGCATCAAGGATGAAGAAATTGCAATTATTTTTTTATTACAATTTGTGTGAATTTTATTATTATTATTATTTAATTTATTTTCCAATACAGAAGTCTTTAAAAATGACATCTAGAATCTCCTCAACATCAGTCTTTCCAGTTATTCTTCCTATCTCTTTCAGAGCTGATCTCAGTTCTTCAGCAGCTACTACGATATCGCTTTCACCTTTTTTAACGCAATCTACAAAGTGATTAATTTTGAATTTTCTCTTTTTGTATTACCAAGGAATCTTTGAATTGAGCAGCTGCAGTCTTGTAAGTGATGCCTGTGCCTTTGTTGTGTCAGATGAGGGCTATCAGCTAATGGATCGCCCCCTCTAATCAAGAAATTAAATGCTCCTTTAATATTATGAATAGCTTACAACATCTGCAACCGATTCTTTAAGACGTCCAAGAAATTTTCAATTCCTTTTCTAGTCGTGCATGAGACCCAACAGATTAAATTACTATTATCCTACAAGAAAGTATTTTTACTAAAAAAGGCATTTTTTGTACTGAGTCTAACTGGAGCTATAGTGTGAGATGATGGAAGCAGATCGGTCTTGTTCATAACAATTAATGTGTTGTTGTGATTCAGTCTCTCAAGGACCCTCTCTTCACTATGAATTAAAACGAATTCTCATACAACTCAAATTAATCACTATCCTTGTATTTCACTATCTTATGTATTACCTTACACTTGGGTTCATGCTGCACAACTTTTTCAGTACTTCTGGCTCTGGACATTGGAGTGTTGAGAGGTTGTCTTTGCACAGAGAACTATCAACTATTAGAATGTTCAAATCCGCACTCTCAACTCTGCAATGAGTACCAGGATAATATCATTTATTGGATTTTTGTTTTATAATTGCCTTTCAACGGCTCGTTTGATCCCTTCCTTTTCCACAGGATCACTGACTTGCCTTAGTCCAGCAGTGTCACTTTAAACAAAAGGTGCTCTTTAAAAGATCTCTCTTTCTCTCCCATCATTACCTTATCACAACTGGATATCCAGATATATCCAAAGATGACTCAATCACGTCTCTTGTAGTCCCAGCATATGGGGACACTATAGCAGCTGGGCGCTGGCCTACTCGATTTGTTGTTACTATAAAATAACTTGCCAATTTTCTTACACAATATGTTCAGTAAGCTGCTCTTGCCAGCATTGGGTGCTCCTATAATTGTGACTTGAATCCCAGAGCGGAGTCTTTCACCTCTTCTACCATCTTGCAAGTGAGATTGTATTTCTTTTGACAGCTCTTCGATTTGTCTGCAGACTGTATGTTTATAATACATTAAGAGGAGCTATTCATTTCTTTTTAAAGTGGTTCATCACCTTGTTCCAATAGCCCTTCTTCAATGTTCTCATCTTCACCAAAATCAATAATAGCTTCAACATTAGCAAGGGACTATAATAAAGTTAGAACTGTATGTCATATTACTTGATAATATAGAACTGATACTTTTAATAATGATTCACTCCAACCATTGTAGAGCTTACTTAGATCCCCCTACATAATAAGTACAGAATGATGCAAGTACGTGTAATTATAGTAGTGCTATACCTTCATTTGTCTCAGAGCTTGCTTTCTCTGAGCCTCTGTCTCTGCATGTATCAAATCAGAAAGACCTTCCACTTCAGTCAGATCAAGTTTTCCATTCAATAAAGCTCTGCAAAGGAATATTAAATAAATAATGAAGGCATAGACACCTTTTAGTGAAGTCTCCTGGTTCAGCATGCTTGAGACCAGGTAATGAAGAGAGAGAGTTCAATACGGAAGATATGACAGCTTTACCACCATGGACATGAAACTCTACACAATCTTCACCAGTAAAACTATTGGGACCTAAGAATGCAAGCATAACACTAGTATATCGAATTTTGACTACATGTCTTATACTAAACATATTATTCTATATGCCTTGTACTTTATGTGTAATACCCAGGTACCTGGAAACCAAATAGAGAGACCATGATCAATAATGTCACCTGACAAAGGATCACGTAATCTTCGTAATGTTGCTGCTCTTGGCTTAGGGAGGCTTTTGAACTGTCCCAAATTAAGAATAACCTGTTAAAGGAAGATGAAGGCCTATTGTATAGCCATTGTTGTTACATCTGATGCTCTTGGTCCTGATACTCTGATTACAGCTACTCCTGTGGAGAAGGAAAAACCATGAAGATCTCAGTCTTATAAACTCCTCACCACATTTCCCCTGTCCTGATGATAATGCAAACACTGTGTCCCCACTGCTAGAGCTCATATCAAATAAAGTTCTTGTAAAAAGTCTGACCAACCCACGTGTTGCCATGTTGCTTTGTTACCCTCCCCCAGCCCCTCCCTTCCAACAAAAAATTATTTCTAAAATGAATAATGAATGAATTTTTTATTTTCTGTCTAATATTGACACTTTAAACAAATATTTCAACTGGTCCTCTCTGTCATTATAGCATCCTAAAAAACTGTTTGTTGAGTAAGTCACTGGTTGGCCACAATGCAGAGCTATCTCATCAGATGCAATTGGCCCGTCGTTCCAAATTAGATCAAATCCTCCGATTCTTTTCTCTTCACCAGTGAGACGATTCTCAAGGTCAGTAACATGCAGTACATCTTCCAGTAGACCAAATTTGAGCTCATAATCAGTTGGGCTGCTTGCAGTTAGACTAGGTGAAGCATTTACCTCAAGTATCCACGGTTTCATGTTGTTATCTATCATCAAATCAAAGCCATACAGCTCAATGCAGTGTTTGTCATTGATTATTATCTTCTGTACGCTCTGAAGGCTCTTTATAAAGATGTCATCAAACTGCTGGAAAAGGTTCTGCACAATTTCTGTCCCGTGCTTTGCGGTTAAGTACATCCTAAGTTCCTGGAGTGACCACTTGCAGCCTTTCTCTGGATCATAGTCTGGAGCATTCTTTTGGACCGCAACGTTAGTCAAGTGGACAAATGTGTCAGAGATTGAGTCAAGTGAGAAACGAGTGTTTGAAAAACGTGCAAATCCACTCCTGTAGAGCCAGACTTTAAGAGGAGCATATGACATGACCAGGACATAAACTCTTATGTCAAATTTTCTTCCACCTATAAGGTAAGGATTGTCAATGTAGCGTTGGACTACATAGGTCTCTGGAGGCTCTTTGGACTCTTTGTCTTCATCACGATGAAAGTAATCCTCTTTCTTCCAGTCAGTGATGTCTTTTAGCTTACGAAAGAGAAAGATTCCTTTTCCTTGTGCTTTACCTGCTGGTTTCATGATCCAAATGGTGCCAGGCTTCTTTTTAAAATCCTCCACAAAGATGTGGTACTCTGACGGGAGCTCAAAAGTCGTTGGGAAAAAATCACACTTCATTGCTTCCAGCTTAGACTCTTTTTCTAAAGACTTTTTTAATCTCTTGAGGTTCTTTGCCATGAGGTTCTTCCGGGTGAGTTCGTAATGATTCCTAAAGTGATTCACTCTCTGGCCTTCTTCTAGGTAGCAATGATCAAAGTGTTCCCTCATCCAGCCCACTTCACACCAGTAAAAGTCCCAGTCCCCATCTGGATCTTTAATCTCCTGCCATCCACGACTCCTCAGTACATCTAGGATGGTATTGGAGAGAGCACATTTGAAGCGAATGGGTTTTTCGACTCCTGATCCACCCGAGAGCTTGCTGGTGGTACCTTTTGGAACACGAGTTGGAGGTAAGGTAGAGGAGTCGTGTTTTCCAGGTCCTCCAGTCTTGAGACTGCTCTGTGTGATGGAGTCTTTCCTTTCTTGTACTGTCCTCTGGGTGGCCATTTTGTTTTTAGAATGGTAACCATGACAATGAGGGTGTAATAACTGTAATTATATTGCGTGGGTGTAGCCACGTAACAGTACAGTAGTCAGATCAGTAAGCAATACCAAAACATAAAAATTATGGTCAAACAGTAGGAAGCAAATGCAACAGTAGATTTTGCTCTCCAATTACTGACCTAGTGTTAAAGTGTCGTGATTGTGGGATATTTCCTGGATACCGGATAGGGTCATTATTAGTAGACAATTTCTAATAAAGGGGGTAACTGATACAGTTGTTGTTCCATTAGCAGAATCATCACTAATTCTATTGGATTTATTTTGCAAAAGTCAATAATTACTATGTATAGTAGTAATACTAATTTGTAGACCACCAACACGTAACTTGTACAGATTCACTCTGATGTCATGCCCAGCCAGACTAGTACTCGGTTGCCATTTTCCCTCTGTGACCAATAACTGTACAACATTACAATGAATGACCAATCATGTACTGCCTTTTCACAATGTCATAATAGACATTTCTGTGTGTTTACATTTGTAATACTTGAGCGTATAGTAATGTTGTATTGTTCAAAGGGAAGGCACCATATTCTCTAGCCAGTTCATTACTTCAACAAACACAACTTGTGTCATTTACAAATTTAAAGTAAATAACAACTCAGTTTGCAACCCACTTGCAATGTTTAACCTCCCAACTCAAAAATTATCAAAATCATTATTATTATTATTATTATTATTATTATTATTATTATTATTATGACAAAAAACAGTTAATAATAAAGAACTGAGAGAATCCAAATAAAGACTGCTGAACTTAATTCACATAAATTAAATATAATTATTGTGAAAACAAAAATAAGCATTGTAAGTAAAATTAGTATTTATTACCAGCTGTCATTCTTACAATTAGCAATAATTAATAGATAGTAATAATTATATGTTTGTTTTTGCTAAGAATTACATTATAATGGACGACAATGAGAGAGAGAGAGTGAGAGGAATACATACATGTGTGTATGCATGCGTACAATGACGAGAAGATGAGGAATGAGCTACAGGTACATTCGCCTGTTTATAAGATTGTACATGACGACTTCTTAATGAAGGGGTTGTCCCTTTTTGGAACTCCGTCCACTAGCGGGTCACTTTCTGATATACAATATTCTTTTAAGCTACAGAGAGAGAGGGGGGAGAGAGAGAGTGTGTGTGTGTGTGTGTGAGAGAGAGAGAGAGAAGGGATAAGAAAACAAGCTAAATGCAAATTCCATATGCATGTGTACATCATATGGATGTGTACATGCATGCCTGTGCATGTATGTGATTTAATACATTTACACTAAGAAACACTGTAATGATTAGCAACGGCTCATTAGTCAAAAGAATGTAGTGTAGTTTACGGAGACACATCTTTGTTACTAACGCCATCCATAAATATATTATCGAAACTTCTAATTGCATTAAGTTTCATACCTCTCCCAAAATACTATGCTAAAATGTATCTCTACCCAGTGGTGTGAGGTGTGTTTGTGTGTCTATGTACCTGTTTGCCACAACTGATACTTTCTGTCTCTCAATCCCTAATTCTCTCTTCATCTGGTCGTTCATTTTTCTCAATCGATCGACTTCAGGCATGATGACAACTCTTAGCGATTACTAGTATCATTATAAAGGAAAAAGGGAAAGAGAGAGAAAGAGAAAAAGAAAGATGGGATAATTGCAATATCCATTATTGTTATTATTACAATTGTAATAATAATGAATTGACACTTTATTGTGACACCTTGACGAATCAAACAAATAGTCTATAGTTTAACTTCCTTCATCAGTTGACACAGATATAACAACTTTACTCTTAAATATACATAGAATGGACTGATTGGGTGTTAGGCTATACAAAAAACACAATAGGTCGAACAATGCAGTGTCCCACGGACTCGCCGTCCCTCAGCATCACAAAAAACCTCCAGAGCATTACAAACACATGAAGGCGCGTGTGCAAAGACAAACAATGTCACTGGTTTTAACTCACTGGCTCTTGTAGAAATGAGAAAGCGAGAAAAGGGGTTGCTTGCGGCCGGCCCTAGGAAAGAGACAAGTGAGTGTTAATAAACTGGGCTACGCCCAAAATACTCTCACGTAATGATCACGTGATCGCATTCGCACAGTCATCAGACCCCGCCCATGTATAGCTATGTAACGTAATTACCGTATATAATCTTTTCATGTCACGTGATTTCAACACGTGGACATATGGAGGAGAATCGAAAATGGACAACATAAAAATGGAGCCTGAAGAAAATGGAAACAGTCAGTACTTTTATCCCACACAGCTGGCCCTGGCGGACGTGAAGCCACCAATCAATAACGAGTCATTTACAAGTAATTTTTTTCATCCATAGGAATAAGACAAATCTTAATGATTGTAATAATATCATGCTGTGTATATAAATTTACATAATTATGCTAATTAATTAACTTGGTGGGTGGGGTTTCACAAAACTATATCATAGATGCAGAGTCATCCTCACCCCCTCCACCTCCGCCCTCTGAAAGAGAAGAGAAAGAGTCGAGGAGACGATCTCGCTCTCCTCACAAGAGCAGTCGTCGGCACAGATCACGATCAAGAGAAAGACGAAGATCGAGAAGCCGATCACGCGATAGGGACAGGGATAGAGATAGAGACAGGAGGAGACGATCATCAAGAGAGAGGAGGGACAAAGATAGGAGGAGGAGCAGTAAAAGGTAATTAGTGGGTTTAAATACATTCAATTAAAATTATCATCAATTATTTTTTATTAGATCTAGATCAAGATCACGTGACAGAGACAGGGATAGAGATAGAGATGACCGGAAGCAGAAAAGCCGACGGAGAAAGTGAGATAGAATAGTAACTAATAATAAATATTTACTCAGGGTTCACCCACAAAGGATGCTTCTTGAGCCTTATAGTAATATTAGTATAGTGTTTTAGAGTAACTTTTAAGATTCATGAAAAATCTAAGTTTAATCAGAATCAGCTCAAACTAGATATACAACATCAGAACATGTATCTGTATCAAAAAAAAATTATAAAAATTGAAAATTCTCACCTAGCCATTTTTGGCGAAATTTGGCCTGAGACCCTGTACTATAGTACAGGGTATTTGGCCCAATTTTTGAGTAACTTAAAAAAATTCATAAAAAATCTAATTTTGATCGGAATCCTTTCAAATTTTTTACACAACATAAGAACATGTATATGCATCAAAAAATGTGATGAAAACGGAGAATTCTCTCCTGGTGATTTTTGGCTAAGCACCCTGTTGCCTGTACTACAATACAGGGTATTTAGACCAGATTTTAAGCAACTTTTTGCTGACAAGAAGCTGGGCACTATGCTAAAATCCTTGGGAGACCAGGCCTGTGCTTAATAAATTATTTATTTTATTTATTTTTCTTATTTTCAGTCCCTCACAATGGTGGGACATACCTCCGAGAGGTTTTGAACATATATCTCCCCTCCAGTTCAAAGCAATGCAAGGTATAATATACACGTACTCTGTGACTTCCTTTAATTTATGATAATTCATTTATAGCTGCTGGTCAAGTCCCTACTGTTGGCATACCACCTCCTGCTCTTGGTGAAGCCACTACTCCACTACCTATCCCTCCTCCTCCTCAACCTGCTGCCAGTCAACTAACAAGACAAGCAAGGAGACTATACATTGGAAATATCCCGTTTGGCATTGCAGAGGTACACCTTTTCCCCCCTCATACTCTCTTTAGTGTGTCTCTGTTAGGAGGTGATGGTTAATTTCTTTAATGAGAAGATGTTGGAGGCTAAACTCTGCTCTGCCCCTGGTATACCTGTATTAGCGGTTCAGATTAATATGGACAAGAATTTTGCATTCATTGAGGTACTGTGTGCTCCACCATTCACTAAGTGTAGTGATGAACTCTCTCTCTCTCTCTCATAGTTTCGTTCAGTAGAAGAGACAACTAATGCAATGGCGTTTGATGGTATAGTATTGCAAGGACAGTCACTGAAGATAAGACGACCTAAAGACTATGCACCAATACCTGGAGTTGGTAAGTATGCATTGTACAGGCACTTCTGGTCACAACTCCCAATCCAATATGATACATATGTGATATTATGAATGAGTGAGGGAATTAAGACATTAGTAGACCTCTTATTTAGTAAATTAATAGTTACTTGAATAAACAATCTATTGATGAATGAATGAATGAATATACTTATTATGATATTATGTTTGATGTATAGGGGCTCTTAGATATGCTATTGTAATTGATAGTTCCTTTCTCTTGTTTATAGACATAATGCCCAAGCATGTTCCTGGTGTTATATCAACTGTTGTTCCTGATGGACCTCATAAAGTTTTCTGTGGTGGACTACCGACTTATCTCAGTGATGATCAGGTTAATGATGTATTGAATATAGCAAGTCTCTGTTTTATAGATTGGCTTAACATTTTTTGTTTATTAACATGTTTCTTTTCTTCTTTCCTCTTCCCTTCTCTTTGGGCAAACAATGAAAATGCATCTACTACTACAACTGTGTAACACAGCTCCCGTCTGCCAAATACCTCTCGTGTTTTCCTCTTCAATTCTCAGCATATAATTTTTATTTTTGTCTTAGCTTAGCTCTCTATCTCTGTGCCTGGAAGTTTCAGAAGATATTTTTTTCTCCTGCAGCATAAAATATATATATATAATTGTCCTCTTCCCTTTAAGCAGCTCATGTACATGAGTACGAAGATTGTGCATCCATTTTTTAAAAAGATATTTATTGTCTTCTCTTTTTCTCAGGAGTAATGTGTGCATGTCTCTCTCCTTTAGCAATTCCTTTCCTTTTAGCACCTACCAAATAAAGATTTTAGGTTATGGTTGTCTTTTTGTAGGCTTTCTAGCGCCTGTGTTGTATAAGAAAAGCTAACTCTCTCTTCTCTTTTATAGTGCATGCACTGTATATGTACTTGTACATGTATGTAGTATGTGTATGCCTCTTTCCTTTAAAAACAGCTGTAGCACAACAAGTCCAGTATTTCCCTCTAGATTATAATCTCTCATAGGACCAACCCACACGAACATTCACACCATTCACTATTATATTTATAGGCATGAGCAAAATTTATAGGTCACCCCGACATATTCAAAGATGGAGGGATAGTGTTGCCTCGCATACAGTAGCTGATGCATGTCATTTTATGTTTGTCTTCTTTTCCTTCAGCCTTTTAGTATATAGGGTTGTGGTGTGGCCTGTATTACGAGTCTGTTCAACACTCGTGTTTATGTGTAATAAGTAAAATAACTTTCCTCCACTGCTAGTTTATTTATGTCTCCTTGTTTTTCTTTCTTCTAAATCCTCAGGTGAAGGAATTGCTCTCGTCTTTCGGTGATCTTAAAGCTTTTAATTTAGTGAAGGACAGTGGGACCTCGTTCTCTAAAGGCTACTGCTTCTTTGAGTATTTGGATACTGACGTCACTGATGGGGTGAGCCGATAAATCAACACACTTATCATTGATTTGATTAAACATTATGATAGATTTTTATGATAGATAGCACAGGGGGTTTCCCACAAGGTACTTTTTGAGCAACTTTAAAAATTCATTAAAAATCCAAATTTGATTGGAATCAGCTCAAACTTGATATGCAACATCAGAACATGTATATGTATCAAGAATAATTATAAAATTAGAGAATTCTCTCCCAGCTATTTTTGACAAAATACCATAGATCAGGGTTTTCTACAAAGCTCTACTGAGCAAAGCTAAACAGCAAAATCTTGTGGAAACCCTGTATGCATATTTGGAACCTTAAATTTCTTTTTTTAATATTACATTTTGTTGGAATTTATTTTTAGTGGAATAATTTATTTATGCCTGCGTGAAAATTAATTCCACACATTAATGCTTTTTTAACAATACAATTGACAGCTTTTGCTTCGACTTTCTTCTCTTTCTTCAGGCAATCCAGGGACTAAATGGCATGGCATTAGGTGACAAGAAGCTAGTTGTCCAGAGAGCAAGTGTTGGAGCTAAAGTTATGGAAGAATATGACATTTCGACTGACATTACATCGATGGCGATGCCCATTAGTATACCTGGGCTTCAAATGCCCAGTACAGCTCAGACTGCAACCACTGTTCTCTGTTTAATGAACATGACCACTGAAGAAGAACTTAGAGATGATGACGAATATGAAGGTATGAGAGTAATGATTAGTTATCATTTTGTTTTATCATCTTTATCACTGTTGTTATCTTTTGTCTGTTTTTGTTTCAGGTATATTGGAAGACGTGAGGGAGGAGTGTTCAAATTATGGTCAAGTGTTGAGTGTAGCTGCTCCAAGACCAGTAGAAGGAACGCTAGTACCAGGACTAGGAAAGGTATATTAATAGTATAACTACTGACAAAATAGTCACCTTTCTATTTATCAAAACAACGACCATTCATAATTCGGCTGGGAATTTAAAATAAACTAATTTTTGTAGTTATAGAGTATGTTTGTGCATGCATGCAATCTTAAAACTTTGCTGTACAAGTATACGTGTGTATATCACTCATTTCTTTTCTTTCTTTAGATATTTGTTGAGTTTGCTGCTACTGATCAGTGCCAGAGGGCTCAGACGGCCCTTGCTGGTCGCAAGTTTGCGAATCGCGTGGTAGTTACTTCTTTCTTTGATCTTGAGAAGTACAGACAGAAGAACTTTGCTGCTCAATGAAGAGAATAGTTTTGTAGGATACTAATATTAGCATTTGTAGCTTTATGCCTGGAACATGCACACACTACAGTACATATGTTTTATTGTAATATTGTTTTGTCTAATAAAATTGTTCACTAAAGTCGGACGCTTCCTTAAAGTTATAGATCTAATTGTTGCTTTGTCTAATGGCAATTTGCTGGTTTTGCAAAATACGTGTTATTGTAGGCGAGACTAAGGCGTGGCCGTTCTGTAATCTGAACTGAAGGTACAAGGTAGCTCATCTAGCTAGCTGTGTTTATAGCAAGTGAGGACAGCTCCTCTTTTGTATCTATTGGTAAGTTAGTCTCTTCTTCCACCTTGCGTGATGTCTTCACGCCATTAACCACCTTTGTATTGCGTGTAGGTGATTGTGAGCCTTGTTCAAATTTTTGCCATTCCTATTTATTTAACAGCTACTCTAGCTATCCCTTTGTTGTACCTTATCAACAAGAAATTTCGCCTTAAGTGGTTTCTATCCTGTAGTCATTGCCTTTTATTTTATTTCCAGTTAGACATAATATTTGCAATGAATGGACTAAGACGTTAGGGTTTATTATCATTGTCACAATGTCTGAGAAGAACAAAAGATTGAAATTTGGCAATTCGCGCATCCAATTTGGTAATATTATCAACGTTGCTGTTGAACAAGGCGATGCCGACGGATTAGAGCTCATTTTGTCACAAGATGGAGGTATGTCTAAAGTTCTTTGTGTTGCTACAATTAAAGGCAACTTTATATATTATGTTCTTAACTTGTGTCTCTTCATTCTCTCTCTTCTCATTCTTCTTTTGCTTAGCTAAAGACCACATTGATTGCAAAAACAAGCATGGACGGGTAAGCTTCCTATACACGCAACCACTTACTACACACAACATTCAGTAATGTAATATATATGTCACGCAGGTAATACGATCCCTTTATAGTAATAATTTGAATATTGTACAAGGTTATTCATTAGAATTTTACTATAGTTGCTTAGTTGTTATAGAAATACTTAGAGAAATACCCTATTTAACTTTCAATACGACATCATGTACATGTGGTGTATGCATTTGGTAGAAGAGTAGGTGAAGAGAGGTTGGCATTATTATGGGCTCAGTTTTGATTCAGCAACCAATCAGTTTAGTGTTGTCAGTTTGAATGATGACAGTTCACGAATGAATGTAAGCAACAACAATTTCGTCAACTCAAAAGAGTGTTTATCTCAAGCCTGACATCAGTTATGTGTACCTTGTAATAAGACATATTGTTCTTTCTTTCTTTTATATAGACTCCACTAGTTGTAGCTACTAAGCAAGGGAACCTAAAGTGCATAAAGTTGCTCTTGTCTCATGGCTGTGATCTTCATGCCACCATGACTAATGTCAAACAAGGGAAGGAGCTTCATGTGTGGGAGATTGCAGCTCAGAGAGGATTCAGAAAAATTGCAGAGTATCTGAATGGATGCTTAGGTACATGGTAATCATTATCTCTGAGTGCATCAGGGAGAGAGAAAGAGAAAGGGAGAGATAGTGTGGTTATGATTTTGTGTCCTTCTTTTAGATGATTTAACTAAGTACAATTATCACCGAGCAATGATGGAAGCAGGTTAGTTTGAGTTTTTTATACTAAACTAAGCTTCAGTGTTCTTTTGCTTCCTTAGATGTACTGGAGATATGTCAGAATCCTAATCTCACCGAAGCTGATTTGAAAGAGTTTGATAAACACATTAAGATCCTGAACACTCTCTCAACTTTCGACATTAATGGAGATGAGATGTCAGAGTCCCTCCTCATTGTGTAAGCAAATGAGAGACTCATTGCAATATTATTATTACTATTATATATAAATGGTGTGTCTGTATTGAATTGCTAATTGTTAGTATGCCACTTGTGTATTATAAGATAGTGAGAGCTTGTATATCTTATCTGATACTACAGATATACAGTGGTAATCTCTACTGCCTATATACATGTGCATGTACTTGTACATGAAATGAAAATCATGCTTTTCTGTATACATATACATAGATAGCTTGAATGGCTTATTGTTGTCATAACTGTTATCCTTATATAGTGGATTGGTTTATCAAGCATCATTTAAACTCAGTATAATCCCTCATTGCACATGTCACTGATTAGGTGTAGTAAATTCACTTGAACTCCAGTATCCTGTATTACTTATGCTACCTGTATTACTTATGCTACCTTTATCATGTATCCATACTTACATGACCAATTAGTTGTGAATTAAAGTTTACATTATAAATATTCTCATGACATGTGACTCTTAGACTATCCATTTGTGGTTGGTTCAGTATGTATAATGTATCTCATTGTAGTAATTAGCCTTTACTGTATTTCTTGCTTCACTACTCATCCCACCCATACTATACATGCTAGACTGCTGATGTAACAAATATTTACTACTACATGTGTATTTATTGTCTGTCTGAGACTGTCTCGCTCTTTTCCTCTCTCCAGAGCTACCAAAGCTGATAACAAGCTCATAGTTGAGAGATTACTAGAAGTGTACAACGTGACTCCATACTCCAATGATCTCAAGACTGGTGAGTCTGCTCTCCACATTGCCTGCAAAAAATCCTCCGATCTTCGTTTCTACATCACGCAAAAGTGTCAAGACCTCATTTTTTCAGTCGACACAAACGGAGAGAACCCGCTACACGTTGCCTGTCACATGAATGACCTTAGGTATGTAACATGGCTGTTCCAGAGGGTTCTAGAAAAGATAGAGAACGAGACCCTACCCTCCAGTTCATCTTTCTTGTCTTTACAGCTTGATCAGCTAGAGAGACCAAAGTTCCAATCGATGAGTTCTCATCCCCCCTTTCATTTGATGAATTCTGACTCTGCCACTTCTTCTTCCAACAACTCTCTGGCTCACCGGCAGCTCCCTTTGTTTGAAGAGGCAGAGGAGTACGAAGAGCAATCACCAGTTCAGCATCCTCTCAATGTCATGTTAAGAGATACTAAGTCTAAATCTGAGCCTGACCTTCTTGACTCTGGTCTCACTGATTCTGGTGCTAGTGGTCCTTCTGATGGGCCCCAGGAGGAGGAGGAGGGGGAGGATCGCCCACTCACTCTTATCATGAGAACCAAGGCATCACGTAGATCAGTAAAAGTTATTAGCAAGGAAGGACAGGGCATTGAACTAATAGGAGGAGGAGGAGGAGGGGGAAAGGGAGGGAGAGAAGGAGGCAGTGATAGCTTTTCAAGCATTCAGTCGTTAAAGACGCATCAAGTGAGCCTTGAGGAACTAGAGGCTTCAACTTATTCTCTCTCTGATAATCCACTGATTGCTTCTTCCCCTCCCCTGGAGGATGTTACTGTGGCCTCAGTCAGTGAGTATTCGGATAGTACAATGGATACCATACGCAATGACATCACCAGTGGCTACGAGAGCTATACAACTGTTGACAGTCGAAGACACGACCAAGCAGTCTTGCCTCGTAAGAAGATCCCAATAGCTAAAGGAAGGAAGAGAATCAACTCTGAGGAGCTTCCCTCATCTCCTCACAGAACTTTGTCTAATTTTGAAAACTCATCCAATTCTGACGTCTCTACTCTGTTAGACAGCACCGGTGAGTTACTGAAGAGTTTGACCTTCTCCCATGGCCCCTCTCCATTCACTTTTGACACTATTCTCTCGGTACACATGAGGCTCTTCTCGGTCAGTGCTAACGGCAGCAGTGTACTACACATTACTGCTAGAAATGGGCATGTTGATCTGCTCCTACTCATCACTCAAGTTGCTAAATACTTAGAGAACAATCCCGACGGAGCTGATGTGACTGTCCTCATTAGGAAAACCAGCTCAATATGTACTCCACTGGAGGAAGCTATCGATAAAAATGAAAGCAATTGTCTTCGTATTTTAATGAAGTTTGCTAGCGAGACATCAGTATTTGAGAATATATATAATGACTCTAGTCTGCTTCAGCGAGCCGTGAAGGTAGAGTCACTTGATTGTTTAAAGGTTCTATGCGATTACGGACTGTGGAGAGATGCTAAGGAGAGCCTTGTTACGATAACCAAAAAACTTCCAATCGATTCAATGTTTGGACGCTACCTCATGTTTTATCACATTCAATTGACTCTCTCCATGTTGTGCTCTCGTGTTAAACGGAATGGAAGCCTTACCATTGACAATGGGGTCCTCCGTTGGAATGATTTAGAGCTTGAGGATATCAACCTTTTGTGGTTGACTGATGCTCCTGTGGCCATTTCTACTGTATCCCATGCTTTCAAGACAATGTCTATTTCTCAACCTCTGCAGCAAAATAAAGAGTTCTTCCAGAAGCTCGGGCTAGCATGCAGTGAGTACTTTAATAGCTACATGTGGCAGCCACAGGCTCACCCCACTGCCTGGGCCTTGCTACCGATTACCGAGATTGATCTATCCTCCAATAGACTGGAGGGGGTTTTGCCTGAAATATTCCAAATAAAGACCCTCACCGTACTGAATCTATCCCACAACAGACTGGTAGCACTCCCTAGTAACTTTAACATCCAGTCGCCAATATACACTTGCCAGAGCCTTGAAAAACTCAACGTGAGTCACAACTGTCTAGTGACCCTCCCCGAGGACCTTTTTTATGCTGTTGGTAACTCACTGGAGGAACTCAACGCACGTAATAATTCCTTAGAGTCCCTCCCTCCCGGTCTGTGGGTCTGTACTAAACTGAGTAACGTCAACCTGAGTCATAACAAGTTGACACAGCTGCATTATTTCAGCGATTCAAAGTATTTCTTTGATCAGGCCTACTCGAGGACTCTCATTAATTCAATGCAATTGGACCAGGGGGCACTCCTTAACTCTGGTAAGATGAATGAAGAGGACTTTATGGGTGTCATGAATTATGCCACTCGTCTCAATATATTTTATCACACTCTCTCCCACCTCTTGCCTGCCACATTTGAGAGTGGATCTGCTCCACATTACCTCCAGCAAGTCATTGACATTCACTGGTTGAGGACAAAGCTTAACAGCAGTCAATCATGTTCTCTCGAATATTTTGAAGTCTCACTCCCTCCCGATGAATCCTTAGCTATTACTCATTTAGATTTATCTTATAACTCTTTTTCTGAGCTTCCCAAAGACCTTCCCTGTATTGCACCTCATCTCGAGAAACTGGATCTTCGGGGAAACTCTATCAAGAACCTTGACATAGTCCGTGACATGCCTTCAGAGATAGCCTCGATTAATCTCAGCAGCAACAAAATCTCTAGCGTCCATTATCAGCATAAAGCTCACGTGTGCATGAATCCTGTCAAACTGTTGGACGGGTGCGTATTGGATCCAAAGGAATCAAGATTCTGCAGGCACAAGTCCCATTGCATCCTTGATAAACTCACCAATCTAGTCCTTCATGATAATTCTATCGAATTTTTTAACTGCATCCCACAGGGAGACAGTATAGGAGGAGGAAGCACTTCTGCTAGTTTACAATCGTTCGACAAGGAAGAGTGCCAAGCTTATTTCCCTCACCTCTCTGTCCTCTCCCTTGAGCACAACAGTCTCCTTTGTGTCCCTAATGGTATCCAGTACTTGACTCAACTAAGCTCACTCTCTCTCTCTCATAACTCTCTCATTACGTACCTGCCTACTGTCATGGGCCTCATGAACCCTCAGGTCCTCCTCATATTGAAACTAGATGGAGTGTCACCAAAGAACATTGATCCAAAGCTACTCAACAAGCCTGGGGCAAGAGCAATCATCACTTACCTGAAATCAATGTACCACAAGTAAGAGTGACACTAATACTCCTATAATGTGTTTTTAGTTATTAATATGAAGATTGTAGTGTTAGTTATTTATGTTTGTTGTTAAATGTATTTTATTCTCTCTTTTCCTTCTCTTTCTCTCTATCTAGATCACAACCTTATCATCGCATCAAGCTAATGCTAATTGGTGACAGCAATGTTGGTAAGACCAGCCTCCTCCTCAATCTCACAAAGAAAGGAAAAGTCTCTCGTTTCAAGGAGGTTGAAAAAGGATTGAATAAACTCCCGCTCTCAACCGTCGGGGTTGACCTTGGAGACTGGGAGTACAGCCCACAGTCCTTGAGACTGAAACCAGTGACCTTTATGACGTGGGACTTTGGTGGACAGATAGAGTATTATGCCACTCACCAGTGCTTCCTCACCCAGCGATCTCTTTACATTATTGTATGGAATGCAAAAGAAAGGGAGAGAGGACTTGAGAGAATTAGACCATGGCTTGACAACATCGGAGTAAGAACTATATACATGTAGTGGCACATGTAATTTTTCTCTTTTATATGCATAAATTACATTTGTGTACATTTACTTTTTATGCTTAGTATGTATGTATTACATTTATGTTTGTATTCTATAGATATATACATGTACATGTAGTCTCTCTCCTTTATATATCTTCAGTATTTATGTGTTTATTTCGTTGCCTCTAGAGTCGTATACCAAATGCTCCAGTCATTGTAGTAGCGACTCACCTTGACTCTCTCCCTTCTCAGAGGAGGAGTGAGATTGTTAAACGTTTGCAGACCGAGTTCAACAGGAAGTACCTCACTCCATCAGCTTCTCATGGAGCGTGTTCTCATATTTATTCAAAGTGTTTCTTTGTGTCTTGCAGCGACGGAACGCAAATATCTCAACTGAGAGACGAGCTTTACGAATTTGCTCTCTCCATCAAACCAAGTAAGACTAATGCCTCTACTACTATGTGACTTTTGTTAGCAGTAAAAGCCAGTGAGCCTTTTTAAATATGAAATACAAAAATAGTTCAAGGATTTTAATGATTTAAAAATTTTTTTTCTACAGCGAATTCTGGTTTTCGTCAGGTTGGGGATGGTGAGTCATTGCTCCGACAGCCCGTCCCCGAGTGTTACATCAAACTTCAGGATATTGTGAGGAGTGCAACAAAGAGATACTTACAAGAGAAACTGCCACCAATACTAACGACTAAAGAGTTTAGGTAACAATAGAGTCGAATATTTATACATGTACATGTACATGTATGTATTTACGTAGTTTAAAATGTCAGTTTTATTAAATTTATGTATTTAAATTAGGAAAATAGCATCTGAAGGGAATTTTCCTGGAAAATTGGACGAGCTTGAGCAAGCGACTGCATTTCTTCATG